ATGATGGGCTCAAGTATAGCAGGGATCGTGGAGCTGGCGCTGGATCGGGCAGTGTTTTGTTCTGCTGTGCATGGGGTCGCTATGAGTCAGAAACAACTCGACAGCACCTAACAACAACAACAACTACTCACAGTGTATTTTTTCAGGTTTTAATATTGGATAAATGAAGTATGAAGTTCTTGATTGAATTATTAGGCCAGTAGGAAGGTATTTTGATTCCACAAATATTACTACCATGTCTACCCTGAGCTAAGTATGCTCTTAAGAGTCTCGTTTTATTGCACCTAACAAAAATACCTCAAGGTCTATTTGATCTTCAAAAGGAGAATTTAATCTGTTGAGCATCTGTCTACCAGGACACTACAGTAAACTTAACAAAATGACTTATCTAGAGGTAACTGAAATAAGGAAGAAACATAATTTTTAAAAAAGAAAAGTCTCAAAATAAGTTCCTGTGTCATAAATTATACTGCCAGTGTAAAGGCTCTGAACTTTATCATTCCACGCATATCAGAGCCTACCTGTTAGATCTGCCACCCAGCTGGTAGTTTGTCATCCTGCAGGTTGCTAGGAAGTTGGAAGCTGTGCCACTGGTATTTCAGATACCGGCAGGGTCACCCCTGTTAGACAGGTTTCAGCAGAGCTGCCAAACTAAGACTAGGTAAAAGGGCCCGGGGATCTCCTTCTGAATCTTGGCCAATGAAAACCCTGTGGATCACTACAGGATATTATCTGATAAAGTGCTGGTCAAGAGACCGTCAGGTCTAAAGGCACTCAGAATACACAGTGGTCGTAATGATGGGCCTGAACATAGCAGTGAGGATGGCACAGGACGGGGCAGGTTTCCTTCCCTTGAACATGGATGTGCTCACCATGAGGTAGAGTTAACATGGTGGCAGCTAACAACCACTACCATTCGATGCACGTATCAGTGAGTAATTTACTTCATGCACCTCCTCAAAAAACACTTACTCACTCCACTTCAGCCATACTGGCTTTCTAGCTGTTCTTTGAATGCATTGCCTTTCTTTTTCTGTTTCCCTCCCAACACACTCATCTCCCAGAATTCTTCCTGACTCACTCCCTCACCTCTTTCAGTCCTGACTCAGATGTCATTTGTGGGGCTGGGGGAAGACTTCCTTAGCTACTTAGTCTAAAAGTCTAACTCTCAGGCAATTTCTATTCCCTTTTTCTGCTTTATTTTTCTCGCTAGTACATACAGCTGTTAAAATTACAGTCTGTTTTACTTAGTTATTTTGTTTATTGTCTGTTCCATTAGAATCTGAGTTTCACGAGGGAAGGGTTTTTGCATGTTTTGTTCACTGCTGCATCCCTATGGTCTAGAACATACAAAGAACAACTGAATGCAATCATGTGAAATTTCTTTGAATTTTACCAGTGTCTCTTCTAGCAAAGTACCTGAGAATTATTTTAAATTGGTATGTATATTTTAGGCTTCCAAGGGCTAACTGCTTAAAATACCAGCTAAAGTTATTTTTTCATAATGACAATTCTTTTTATGAAGTTAACTTTGAAATGCTACACACTTGCACCCTGTCCCTTTGCTCTGTTTTACCATCCTAGTTTATTTAAAGATCACATTGCACTTCTCTGCTCTGTTTACCTTTTTTTATTTAGATAAATGAAGTAATGTTGGATTCACCTTCAGACGATGGTCTGGACTGAACAAGGCTTCTGAGGCTCTACTATGCATGTGAACCTAGGGGATCTTCTTAAAATGCGGATCTTAGTTTAGTAGGTCTCGGGTGGGACCTAAGAGTCTGTGTCCAGTAAGCTCCAGGGTGATGCTGCTGGCCTCAGGCCACACTTTGAGGAGTAGAAGGTGGCTTAGCTCTAGTTTTCTCTTTGGGATTTCAGTAGATTTTTTAGATTACAAGGAAAATTGTCATTAGAGAACTTAGGGAGCGCTTACTCCTCACAGCCCACAGTTTTATCACTGTCACATTACTGAGCTTTGGAGAGTTCAGCAGTTCTAGTTCCATGAGCCCACTCTAAGCTCCCTCAAAACTTCCTGTAGAAGTTTGCCACCTGTTTTAAGAATCAGTATTTGTTATGCCACAATGAGCCCTGTGTTAACTTCTTAAGGATTAGCTGTATCATTCCTCAGTTGCCGTTCAGTCTGGCTGACGTTTTGAAATTACTACATGCAGTGAATGCTGTAAACATTGTCAAATGTTGTTGTTGTTGTTGTTGTTAGGTGCTGTCGAGTCAGCTGTGACTCATAGCAACCCTATGTACAACAGAACGAAACACTGCCTGCTCCTGTGCCAGCCTCACAGTCGTTGCTATGCCTGCGCCCATCGTTTCAACCACTTTGTTGAGGGTCTTCCCCTTCTTTGCTGACTCCACATCACCAAGCATGATACCTTTCTCCAGGGAATTGTCCCTTCCAACAACATGACCAAAGTAGGGGAGACAAAGTCTGGTCATTCTCACTTCCAAGGAGCATTCCAGCTGCACATCTTCCAGGACAGATTTGTTGTCAAATGTTAGTAACTTTCAAACTAAAACCAATGAGCTAAAAAATGATTTTAATAGTAATTTCTTGGTCTTAATTTTAAAACCTGATTTTTAAACACAGAACTTAAGGAAGATAAATAATATTTTAAAAAATTTATTGGAAAAAACCTTCAGATTTACAGGAGAGCTATAAGAATCAGAAGAGTACTTGGAACACCTATGAACCCTTTACATAGATTTACCTGTTGTTAGTTCTGTCCCCTTTGCTTTTTCATTTGCACTCAGTCGTTCTGTTTTGCACTTACACACATGCACGCACCCACACATATGCATGTGCATGTCCACATGCTCACACATAATTTTTCTGAACCACTTGAGCAGGTTGCATAAATCTATGACCCTTTATACCTATGTGCTTACTTCAATGTGTATTTCCTAAAAATGAGGATATTCTCTTACATGGCCATAGTATAGGTAGCAACTTTAAAGAAATTTAACACTGACAAAATACTGTAATCTAGCATCCTATTCCAATTTTGTCAGTTAACCCATTTATTGTTTCAGTAAAGATTAGCATTTTAATCTGCATTGGAATTTTTACCCAAGGAATATTTAGTGGATCCCTGTCAGACTGGGAGGCGGAGCTCTGGTGCATTCCACAGGGCTTCACTTTGCCCATTCCTGTTCTACATTTTTATTAATAACTTGGACAGAAACGTTAAATATATACCCCACAAGCACAAAGCTGGAAGGGAAAACTAATGCAGTGATAGTGGGAAGGATTCAGAAGCTAATGATAATATTTCTTGATAGCTGACAAATCTGTTTGTTGATAGTTTTAAGAGACCAAAGGGCAGATTTATAAGTCAGGGAGGGTGGGAGAGGAGGGGTGGGCAAGAAATGTTTACTGCTTTATTGAAATAACATCGCCATCATGTGGCCTTCTAGAATATTGCCTCTTAAATCTTAAACTAGGAATACTTTGTCAAGTAACATATGGACAGGTTCATTTAAGAGAAAATTTTCGTGCAACGCTGACTTAAATGATTTCTATCAAAATATTTCTGAAATATGAACAAACATTTGTAGTTCTCTATAAAGGTAGGTATGTTTAACCTGTCGCACACTAAGATTTACATGAAAACCAAACCAAACCAGCTGTCCTAACATCGTTCCTACTCGTGGCGACCCCACGTGTGGAGCAGAGCTGTGCTCCAAGGGTGTTCAGTGGAAGTGGACCACCAGGCTTTTCTTCCAAGGGACCTCGGGGTAGACTTGAGCCTCCAGCCTTTGGGTTAGCAGCTGAGCGCTTAACCGTTTGCACCACCCAGGGGCTCCATGATCTATATAGGTGTTCAGTAAGTATTTGGATATGTGTGTGCTCTTTGAGTCATACAATGCTGTTTCTTTTATCAATAAAATTTGAGTGTCACAGTCTGAAGTTTGTATTAGTGCTTTCCTTTGAAAGATGGAGAATATGAATAAGAACTTTATTGGGAGTGGCAGTGGATCCAAATTGGAGAATGACTACTGCAGCCTCTTTTGAGATTTGCCATGTGTCTCAGTGGTCTTCTCAGCTACACTAGTTTCACTGTGAAATCAAGATGTTAACATTCATATTTATTTGAACCAGAGTTTTTCCCCAATCTTTATCATGAAAAATCTCAAACATACAGAAAAGTGGAAAAAATCGTGCCATGAACACTCATACATCTACCACCAAGATTTAATAATGAGACAGACACTTTCAGTCAAATTGCTTTCTTAAAAATGGTTGTGAGAAAGGAAAGCTATAAGAAAGGCAGGAAGAATTATTATTTGAAGCTTCTTACAATGAAAATGGTCAACCACAGAGCTTAACACTATTAAATACATAACATACCATGGATATAGAGTGTATCTCCACTTGATGAGTGAACTCTTAAGCCATACAAAGAGGGCACATAACAACAACAACCACTTACCTCATCTCAACACAATTTGTTGTTCTGTTCATGAGCCATAAGTGTTTCTGTTTAAAGAAGATTGCATTACTCCTTTGTCCATTTTAAGGTGTGTTTTTTTTTTTTTTTTTAATTGCTGATTTTCTTTCATCTTCACATTGAGGCTCTGGAGAAAAATCAGCAGTGGCTTGTGTATGATCAGCAGCGAGAGGTCTTCGTAAAAGGACTTTTAGCAAAGATCTCTGAGTTGGAGCAGCAAGCAGAAACACCTGCCCAGTCATGCCCACGGCAGCCAAAACAGACTGAACCAGAAGGTACTGATAGAAACGTGTTCTTTGGGGGATGGTTCTGACATTTTCCAAAAGGAGTGATGCGTCAAATTTACTTTTTTATCGATATGTTTTAGAAAGCAAAAGAAGAAGCCTATTAGCTCTGCACTAAGAAATACCATTTTAGCAAGTCTCTCTTCATTTCCTAATTTTTCTGATGAAAAGCACAGGTTAAAGGACAATCTCTGGCAGCTTTGAAGTCACATTGCATTTTTGCCAGCTGTGCACGTTCCTCCCCTCCTTCAGAGTCCTCAAACTTTAGTTCCCCTAGAACTGGCCTTGTCACCAAGCCTCCTCTCACTCTGCTTCCCTTAGCACTTACATCAGCTTCAGGAGGAAGAAGACATCATATAGATGATTCTTCAGTTATAGATGATGATGTTTCTTCCTAAAGATGCTGCCTTTTTGCCTTGTATTTTGCAGTTTCCCTAACATTCATCTCAGTTGAGTTTCGGGACACCCCCAAAAGGTGGGGCCGGAGGTTTATTATTCTTATTTTACAGATTGGGGGAGATGTGAGCAATTCCAGCAGAGAAGTAGTGAGTGCCGTGGGAGGGACAATTGGTGTCAGAGTTAGTAAAAAGGTCGGAGGGCATGTGTGTGACCTCTTAGGAATAAGCCTTGGGCTGCTGATGGTGACTCTGTTTCACACTCATGAGATTGGACGAGGTCACAAGATGCTGCCTTCATGCCCTTTCTCGTAGGACCAGGAAAGAAACCTCCCGTGTAAAGTACTTATTAAAAGGCTGACAGCCCAAGCAGGACAAAGCCTTGAAGGACACAAGGGAAGGCTAGGGAAAGTCTAGTGAGGCCCATAATTTAAGGGAACTTCATATTTGAATATTTGAAAGGAAGCTAACGCTGGAAAGAAAATGTAAATGGAGTATCTCTAGAGATAGTTCTGAGCTGTTCAGCCCTAAGGGGACAAAGTTACTACTGTAGTGACTTTATAAGGTTACTACATATTGAAGTAGGATTTTAGTTACAAGCCATGTCTTTTCTCTTTGATATCATTCTCTCTTTGTGTGTGGGTGTGTGTATATGTTTTATCAAAGTAAGATTGTAAGCACTTGTTGAAATAATTAAATAGTAGCATATAGAAGGACCCTGTCATACCTCCAGTACAACTATTGTGAACATTCCTGTTTTTAATTTTTGTAATTATCTTCCTATCTTTAAATAATAAGCTTATATCTGTTTTTCTTGATTTATCTTCTTTAGACATTAGTGACTTTCCCTCTCCTCAGGATAGCTGTATTTTTATTTTCATTTCCTTTATTTGTTAACCCTGTAACTTAAAACGGTATACCCTAACGTCTATTTCTTGTTCCATCAAATATAGTCCCAACTGTTGACTGCATTTTATAATCTGAGGAAATAAATATGATCTTGTTTATAGAAACATTTTTAACTTCTCAGGAATATTATCTGTTTCATAAAATGAGGCTCACCATAATGTTGTTTGTCACAGGTTACCTCCAAGAAGAGCAAAATTATGATGGTCATCTCTTGGCCAATACAAAAAAAAATCTTGAGACTGAACGGCAGACCATAACTCGGTTACGTTTTGAACTTAGTGAATTAAAAAAAAAATACAAAGAAACCCAAAAAGAAATTCGAGATTTAAATCTACTCTTGTGTTCACAAAGCAAGGCAGATGTCCAGCGTCTAGAAGAAGACAGGCATAAAATGGAGAAAATACAAAAGCTCCAGGAAGAGAATAACGCTGCTAGGGAGAAACTTGAAAAAGAGAAGACGCGATCTGAAACGCTGCTGTCTCAGGTAAGTCTGCCCATGACCATGATTTCAAGGTTCAGAGTTCAGTGAGCACCTACTGTGTGTCAGGAACTACTTTAATCTCTTGGGATAAAGCAAAGAACAAAAGAAGTTCTTGCCTTCATGGGAATTTATAGTCAAGCAAGGAAGCAGATAATAAACAAGTGCATAAATACACAAGTAAACTAACAAAAATAAAACAGTGTAAAATGGCAAAACAAAATTGGAGACAGTGCAGGCCTCTCTGAGATGATATCTGAGCTAATACCTGCTAACAGGACAGTATGAATGTCATGGGAGTTCCTTCCAGGCAGAGGGAATCGCAGGCACACACCAAGGCTCCAAGGAAGGAGCAAGGTAGCAATGTTTGAGAAACCAAAAGAAGACGTGACGCAAAGAGAGGAACGAGGCTGATTCAAGGCTGGTGCTCTGATTGCAGTGACCGTATGTTCTAGTTAATCTCCACGGCACCTTCAGTGGTCTCATTACATGCACAGCTTTCTGCCAGTGTCTAAGTGATGTTGGAGTTACTGAGTTAGGATTATTAGACTTGTCCACTACTTGGACAGAAACTCATGAAGTTTTGCTTGGCAGCATAAATAATGGAAAAAACACTAGATGGAGTCAGCACCTGGTCCTTTTTCCCGATGTGTGACCAGTGGCAAATCACGTAACCTCATTGACTCTCATCTGTCAAATTAATGATACAACCACTCCTTCTTTCCCCCTGCTTCCCTGCAGCGCTTACTCATCTCAACCTGAGGACAAAGAAGACATTTTATAGACGATTCTTCAGTCATTTGAATCTCACCTATTCCTGCCTTGGAGAGCTTTGTCAGGGTCACTTGAGAGAGTGTGAAAGTGCTTTATAAACTAAACCCACCTACTGCCATTGAGTCAATTCTGACTCAGAGTGACCCTCTAAGACACAGGAGAACTGTGATTTCCAAGGCTGTAAATCTTAACCGAAACAGACTGCCTCATGTTTCTCCCACAGAGCAGCTGCTGGCTTCAAACTGTTAACCTTTGGGTTAGCAGCTGAATGTCTTAATCACTGTGCCACCAGAGCTGCCTTGTAAACTAAATAGTTAGGTAAATGTTAGTTATTGCTGCTATTAGAATAGTAATTTTGAAAATCCCCCAAAAGTTGAGAGAGGGAAAAAATTACTAGTCCTGTAAGATTTGCTTTCTTAGCTGAAAAGCAGACACAAAAGCAGTGATGTTTGGGAAAGTTTAAGCAGAAATGATTGAGGATTTTGCTCCATTTCTGTAGCCAAGGAGCTAAAGCATTGCCAGTTTTGTTATCCTACTCAGACACATTAGCAGATGTCAGAGCCTCCAGGAAAGGGGGTGTGGCCGCTGCAGGGTTCAGTACTCCTTACCTAGAGTCCCCCTGACCGCTCAGCCAGAGTGGTACTGCCCTGCAGCGTCCATAGATAGCAATCAAACGACCGGCTGGAATGACACCCGGGGCCAGCAGGTGTTGTCCTGGTTAGAAATGTGAGACTTTGCTGTGAGCGCCTCATGAATACCAGGTCAGGTGATAACGTTGGACATGACAACATTGGCTCTCTTAACATCCTACAGGTCCGTTTTCTTTACACATCTCTGTTAAAGCAGCAAGAGGAGCAAACAAAAGTGGCTCTGTTGGAACAACAGGTACTGATTAGAGTTGCTTCTAAATTCAGTTCAGCCCATTATAAAATGGAATCTTTCCTTATGTGTACGCTATTCTATGGAGAACCACTTTGAAAGATGTGAAAATGTTTTTAGATTTAGAGTCTGTCTATGTTAGCTGTATATCCCTGCTATTGTCCTTGGGCTAAACCAGATTCTTGGAGGGTAAGAGGGCCATTTTCCTTTTTTTAAATTGTGATTTGGGCTAAAGTTTACAAAGCAATTCATTGTCCATTCAACTGAATGTTATGTTTTGTTTCACAACATTGATTGCAGTCCGCATAGGTAACAGCTGTCTTCCCACTTCCTCCCTGTGGTTACCTTTTCCCTGTGTCCTTTTTTCCTGTGGTTTCCTGCTAAGAGCACAGTTTTCTTGACACATAGATGTTGGCTTTGGAAAATTGTACTCTTTCCCAATGACTTCTGTAGTTCCTACTCTAGCCTGACAGGATCTCCCTCACAAGGCTGCTTTGCAGCTTCAAGTAGAACTCAGTGAGATACCATCTGTCCTCAGAATTTAGAGCAGAAATACTTAGTGTATTCCAAACCAGTAAATAGCTGTCTTCCTCTCCTCCCTGCACCAAAAGTGCACCAAAAGTAAGGGAAGAAAGATTCTAACCTGCATTTTAAAGCTGCCCTTCATTCACCTGTACATTAAGCATTGGGTTTGCTCCTTGGATAAACCAGACCCCCAGCCAAAAATTCATTAGATGAATTTTTACTATGACAATACAACAAATGCTTGCTTCTTATGCTAATAAAGATATGCAAGATGCAGTGAGGAAAACTAGACAGCGTGCAGCTGTAATGGTCTTGTCTTGGACTTTTCCTAGGTACAGGCATGTACTTTAGACTTTGAAAATGAAAAACTTGACCGCCAAAACATGCAGCACCAATTGCAAGTAATCCTTAAGGAGCTCCAAAAGGCAAGAACTCAAATAACACAATTGGAATCTCTGGTGAGTTTGGAATGGTTAAAACTAGATCTTATATTCTTTTGTCTCTTTCTGCCATCTTTCCATTTGTTGTTGTTGTTGTGTACCGTCGAGTCACACCTGACTCATAGTGACCCCTCCTTGGGTTTCCGAGGCAGTATCACTACGGAAGTAGGATTGCCCAACCTTCCTTCCGAGGAGTGGCTGGTGGGTTTGAACCGCCAGCCTTCTGGTTAGCAGTCAAGTGCCTTAGCCACTATGCTACCAGAGCTCCCTCTTTCCATTTACATATCCATTTAGTTCCCAAATTATGAAAACAGGGCTTAATGAACAGCTGTATCTCAAATCAGTAGGGAGAGCCTGTCTCATTTACCCTGTAAACATCAGTTCAGAGCACTAGAAAGAGAGGCGTCCTGTACCTCTTAGTAATGGCCGTGTTACTAGGTAATTGTTCTAGGTGCTGTGATTCTAGAGGCATTGGGCCCTGCCTGGTCCAGTGGAGACTATGAGGGATGGCAGTCATAGAATCCCCAACTGAAATGATTTTTTTCCATTAAAAAAGAAAGACAGCAATGCTGGTTTTTAGGTGTAATGAACTATTAATGTTAATACACTTTCAAGCATATTATTAGTTAAGCACATGTTGTGGGTTACCCTGAAAACATAATCACCTTTTGTTTATTAACTTTATCTCTGTGAGAAAATTGTTTTTGACTGACTTATTTTCATCTTACTAACAACCTTTTTTTTTTTCACTAACAACCTTTTTGACCAAACCCATTGGGTCTGTATTTGTGTTTGCCCTGTGGTGGTGGTTGGAGGTGCCGTCAAGCCAGTTTTCCACTCGGCTGCCCCATGTGACAGCAGAACTGCCTACCCCGGAGGGTTTCTGAGGCTGTCATCTTTATGGGAACAGATAGCTAGGTCTTGTATATTTTAAATTTCATCTTAGTCCTCTGGGATATTTTGAAGATCATAAAAGTTACAAATATAATTCTTCAGTTTCCAAATGGGGGGAAAAAACAATTGTTAAAAAATGTCATTTGTTACTTCTGTATGAATAAGACAGGAAATATAATCTTAGCTCCGTTCTTTAGAATGTCACGATTTTAACCACTGATACAATTTGAAATTGAAGTTTGTAATTTTCTGCTAATGACTGATTCCAGACTATAGGAAGCCAAGGATATGTAAGAGAATCTGTAATTTTCCCTGTATTTTTTGTGTGTGTTTCTACGGCCTGTCATCTTCTCAGTGTGTCGTAAAATGCTCATTTTAAACCCTTACTGCCTACTATAAATTCTTCAGAAAAAAACAAGAAAAAGGAAAGCCCCAAAGGCATATGCAATTTCTTTCTATGTATAACCTGTTTTTTACTGTGTATAACCTGTTTAATCTGCCCAAATTCTTTGTTACTCTTAATTCTACCTAGTCCTCTATTGCCAAAATTGCCCTTCTTTTACAAAACTAGCAAATTTGGTCAGCCTTGCACACAGGCCTACCTTTACATTGGACTTGACTCTAAGTATCTTAATCAAAAGGAGTACTGGTGGTGCACTGGTTAAGTGCTAGGCTGCTAACCAAAAGATTTCAGGTTCAAATCCACCAGCTGGTCTATAGGAGAAAGATGTGGCAGTCTGCTTCCATAAAGATTTACAGCCTTGGAAAGCCTATGGTGTCATTCTCCTCTGTCCTATAGGGTCAGAATTGACTCTATGGCAACAAGTTATCTTAATGGAACCCATCCATATAAACATCCAACCCCAGTACTTCCTGGGTAATTTGCATTCAGACCCACCTCATATGTTGCCACTGTAATACTGGTGAGCAGCGATTCCAAAGAAAACCTGCCTGCAGGCCTGAAGTGGCTAGAGTAACTGTATTCAGTTAAAACTACTGAACAATGGGCTTTAGCTACAAACAGCATTTATTTGCAATTTATTTTTCAGAAACAGCTTCATGAGTTAGCCTTCACGGAACCATTAGACACTTTCCAAGGAGAGACAGAAAACAGACTGAAAGTTGCCTCACCAAAAAGCCCTGCTGCTCTGAATGACAGTCTGGTGGAATGTCCCAAGTGCAGTATACGGTATCCGGCCACAGAGCATCGCGACCTGCTCGCGCATGTGGAATACTGTTCAGAGTAGCAAAATGGTTATTCTGTTTCTGTGTCAAAAAATTCAATACTGTATCTTATGTGAGCTTTTGGACATTTTGAATGATATCAGCTTTTAGACATTCTGAAGGACATGTTTCTCCCCTTGTATAAGAAACTGCTACCTGCCTGTGAGATGCTGGCACGTGAATGAATCATTGTATTTTCTTGTTTGGCTACTTTGCATTTTCTTTGGCACTGATACCTCCCTGAGATGGCTTATCATCGGGCTTCAATCAAACTGACAGAATCTGGTGTGGTGTGTGCCAAGACTACAACATCCTACACTGTACTTGATGGGGAAAGATAGTTCGGGTTATTGCTTTTGTGTTGACTATTTTGCACCTACAAGCAAATACTTTGTTTTGTGGCCTACTTAATATACTTTGGATTTTAAAAAATCAAAGATAATTAACCAAGGCCCTTACTGTGTTAATACTGCTTTTTATCCAAGAACTTAATAAACCTAGAATTCAGATTTTTATGTCCATTGTTAAAAAATAGTGATACTTTTTTTCTTTTTTTTTTTAACTTGCTGTTGTAGAGCAGTTTTTAGGAAAGTTGGGAATTTTCTGGATCTTTATTGCTGCTTCCTGTTGAAACTGTAAAACCAGCTCTATTTCAAGCACAAAGCACATTCTGTTTAAGGTATATGCATAAGGAGCCACACAGAGTTTACTCTCGTATTAACTGGCTATAGTTTTAATGCAAATTTCATTAGCACAAAATGAATTCTAACAAAACCCTCTAGACCTCTCATTTGATTTACAGCTATTTTATTTATTTTTGTCACTTTTAAAGCTGGGCAATGTAATGATCAGATGTTTGCTTATCTGAACAGATTTTTTTTATACATGCTTTGTGTAAACAGATTTTTTAAAAATTTTTTTGGTTTCTCTAGAATGCTTAACACTGAGCTACTGTTATTAATGTAAAAGAAAAATAATAAAATTATTTAATATGTTTTACTATGTCTAGTGTATATGTACATATACATAGGTATTCTAAGATTTCCACTCCAAAAGGAGTGTTGGAATTCCTGATTGACACCTCTGTAAGATGGTGAGGTAGCTAAGGAGTCATTGGAACCAGAAGCCCCTGAGGGAGGAGATGCTTTCAGGCATCTTTGTTGAACAGATAACTGTTTATCAGTAAGTGTGATTCAGAGTTATTTGTAACAAAGGCCAAGAAACAAAAGACATGCTGAATTACATAGGTTAGGGGTTTTTTTAATAAAAAATAAGAAATAAGCAGATCTGTTTACAGGGGGAAAAAAAATTGCCTTTACTGTTACTAATCCCAGGTACACAATATCTTTAATCACACTTGGACAAGAGTTACAGAAATGATGGTTTTTGTTCTAATCTACAATATGGAAAGGGTCATAGTATTAAATCATAAATGTATGCCATAAAGAAGTTGTTCTCTCTACAACTTTTTAAAAATTTTTATTGTTGAAAATATACGAAGAAAGTATACTCCAATTCAACAATTTCTCCATGTACAATTTAGTGACATTGGTGGTTGTTGTTGTGTTGTTGTGAGGTGCCATCAAGTCGTCTCCAACTTGTATCAATCCGTATGCACAGCAGAACGAAACACTCCCCAGTCCTGTGCCAGCCTCACGATCCTTGCTGTACCCAAGTCCATCGTTGCAGCCACTGTGTCAATCCATTCTCATTGAGGGCCTTTCCCTTCTTCTTTGACCCTCCACTTTACCAAGCATGATATCCTTCTCCAGGGATGGTTGTTTCTGACAGCATGACCAAAGTAGGTGAGATGAAGTCTGGCCATTCTCGCTTCTAAGGAGCATCCTCGCTGCATTTCCAGGACAGATTTGTAAGTCCTTTTGGCAGACCATGGTACTCTTAGCATTCTTCTCCAACACCACAACTCAAAAGCATCAGCTGTTCTTTGATCTTCCTTTTTCATTGTCCAACTCTCAAATGCGTAAGAGGTAATTGAAAATACTATGGCTTGGTATTTCAAGAAACCATAAGAGACCTAAATAAATGGAAAAACATCCCAT